ATTTTAATTTTAATTAAATAAAATAACGTAATTAAAATTAAAATTTTAATTTATTTTGAGAGTCAAAATTAATATATATTTTTTTAATTTTATTAATTTTTAAATAAAAATATCAACTTATAATATTTTTTAATTTACATATTTTGCCTTTTGCAAACCTACTTTGGCAGCTAAACTTCTCAAGTTCAACCGTTCGACTATTGAAACAAGGATGATACATTTGCATCATATCTTTCTAAAAATTGTGACAAAGCAATAAGTCCAGAGGACAATAAGATATCATGCCAACTTAATTTGACTTTGCATGCATGTCTACTCCTATCAATCTACGATTTTTTTTTCCCCGAGCATAGGAAATTTTTGAGGGAAGGAATGGGGATGAAATAATTGATTAAAGTTGAACTCTTAACCCCCTAATTTTAATTTAGAAGGGTAAGTATTATTTGCTTTAAAATATTACTTATTTTATTTGTTTCAAGACTAATTTATTAAAACTTCAACATTATTGGAATAATACTCTCTCTCTCCTCCCCTGGATTGCCTTTTAGCTTTTTAACTAATTTGTTAAATTTTGGTTTCTATTTTACATGTAGTGAAAATCTATGAAGTAGCTAAAAGGTATATTGGTGCATGCAACTGTGCAAGAAGTAAAGAAGCCTTTTCACCAAGCACATTCTTTCTTTCGTCGTTTGAAGGAAGCACTAGTCATTCAAGTAAGGTACACTTTCTATCTTGAATTAAGTAGTCTCATTTTTAAATTTGCATAGTAGATCACAATATAAATTATTATTATTAATAATCTGTAAAAAAGAATTTAATGTGGTTTCAAAAATAAAAATAACAAGGTATTACGTCATGCATTGCATAGCATAATTAATAATTTTATTTAAATGATTACTTCATTGATGCATAAGGTTCGAATGGGTTTTTGACAAAAAAAAAAAAAGGTCTAAAGAATCTAAACTATTAATTATAATTTGTTAAGAATAATAAAAAGATATAAATGAAGAAATTACTCTTTATCAAGTGGATCTATAAACAAAATTAGGCAAAAAATACTAAGAACTACATTGCTTCAATAAAGTATTATGAGAAATAAGCTAAAATAGTCTTATTCGTACTTTAAAAATTAAGTTTTAGTCTTTTTAAAAATAAATTTAATATGATAATGTAGTTTTTAGATATTTTTTCAATTAATTTTTTGTAAATATATAGTTGATAAACATTTTCTCCAATCTATAATTTCTTATAGTGTATATGATATCTAGCTAAGTCGATGGTTTTTGTTTCACTATATATTCAGTTATATCAAAATTAATGAAGTAATTTTGTCATAATTTGTTATAGTGTACATGATATAAATTAAAGAAAAATTAATGAATTTATTTTTGAACATTTATTTGTACCATTTAATTTAATATATTGTATAACATATTTATTAAAAAATTATTATTTTTAATATAAAATTAAAAATAAAAAAATTTTAAGATTT